TACAGATTGCCATTTTCGACAAACTCCACGAAAGGCTGCAGAGCAATCTGGAAGCGTATCTGTCCATGACCACGTCACTGGGTCGCGCTATGGGCGGTGTGACCAAGGAGGAACAGGAGAAGCTGCTTGGCGTCGAGGGACTGGAGCGCCTTTGCAAGACGTATGGCAGTGCTGACTATCTCGAACGGGCCATGCGTGACTGGAGCGACGACGTGGTAGGCTCTCACTTGCATGATTCCTGTGTGACCCGAACTTCAGCTAACCCCTTTGTTCTGTAGTTCTTCCTCGATATCTGGGAAGGTCTACAAGATCGTGCTCGTGGCCAGACTAGCAATATTGGTACCATGAGCGTGGCCGACGTCGCGGAACGCACATCCAAGAACGTTGAAAGTGACGACGTCGATGGCGGTTCCCTCTTTGACGAGACGGCATCGTGGTACGCGCGCCTCCGTGAACGCAGTGAGAAGATTATCATCGACACACTCAACAGCAATGTGCGTGAGGCGCTGCGTCCATATCGGCACATGTACGTATCCAGATCTGGACCCCTGCCCTGTGGATCCAGATCCAAAACCCTATACTTCCTAATCCCACTTACTAAGATTTGCTTTTAGCAACCCGTGGGCAACTCTTAGCGGGCCTTCCGCTTCAGCCTCGACCGTCACAGAACTGTCACCAACTGCAGAAATCGACCCATTACTTACCTACCTACGTAGCACGCTAGCATTCCTTTCGCGAGCTCTAGCATCTGCGCCATTGCGGCGCATCACTCGGGCCGTCCTGACCACCATCTCGACAACGCTGTGGGAGAATGTGCTCAGCCGGTATCGATTCTCTACTCAGGGAGCTGCCCAGCTACACGCTGACCTCGCGGCCGTTTGCCGAGTCGTGGACAAGCACGTTGGTCCAGGAGTTGCCGAAGCGGGCTTAGCCAAATGTCTCGAAGGCGTCAAAATCGTCGGATTACCCGTAAAAGGCACTTCAGCCTCGCAAGTTGATACTGCAACGGGCCGGGATGACGACGGTGGCGAAGAAGACGAGGACTGGGACACGGGAGCTTGGGCCGCAGAAGACGGTGACGAGGTGCATGATGCTCCGCAAAAAGCAAATTCCACCCGTGACACAGCGTCTGGGGTTGAGGGAGGAGGGGAACTTGGGCTGTGGGAGGTGGAGAGGCGGCTTTTTGCGGATAATCAATCTGCGAGGGATGTGCTGGAGGACTTGGGATTGGAGCTCCTGAGTGAGACGGAGGCGCGGGCGTTGTTGAGACGGAGGGTTGAGCTGGCTGGATAGGTATGTGGGTTTGCGATTGAAAGTTTGAGGCGACGGGACTATCGGGAGGGTTGCGCATGCTGTGCGGGCATCCAATAGTTGAATCCCGGTCTGTCACGATGGCATTTGTGATGTTGAGCATGGCGATGCATGTGTCCGATGTAGGAATCTAAGACACTTCACACTTCATATTTACCCGACAGCGCAGACCTGTCTCACTTGACAACGCATGCTCATCGTCAAATAAACCTTGAATTTCATTCCTGGGTATCATATCCATCATATCTGCTCTGATCAATTTTCCCACAGCCATGCCTGCCCGCAATCATTACTCAGCTCGCCGTGCTGACCCGGAAAACCGTCATCTCCCCGCACTGCTCAAGCGGACCCGAGCAGTCGCAGCACCATCGCAAGAGTAGTCCCGCCTAGTTGGAATACTTGGGATTAACCTTCTTGCCAGTGACCTTCTCGTACGCCTTGCGCATGCCGTCGGTCTAGTTTTCACCTCGTTAGCTCTCACCCTCAACAAACTGCAACCAACACCTTGCGCACTACTGCTAATCACGAAGCAAATACAGTGGAGTGTCTGAACTTACAATCTTCTCGCTCATACCACGGTTCGCAGCAATCTTCTGACCCTGCGCGCCGCCGAACTTCTTGGCTCCGGCGTTGAAGGCCTTGTCGAGGTAATCTTGACCTCCAGCACCGGCACCACCACCATGGTTGGGGTTGTTCATATTTGCGGGTTGTGGAGGGTGTGGTAGACTTGTTGGGTATATGTGCGATGACGGGTGTGAGATGGAGTAGTATTGCGCGATGGACAGTTGATGGTGTAGTGGAGGATGAAGCAGAACGGTGAGGTGAGTAAACAGTCGAGTCGATCGCAAGGAAAAGGGCCGTGAGTCAATGCTCTTTTTATGCGCTTGTCCACGCTTCCCTCACCTGGACCCTTGTTCTGTGAAACCTTAACTCGCTATCACGCTCTTGCTGGGTACGCGGCCAATGAGGCGCGTAGGCTAATCACTCATATCGCACCGCCACGATTTGCAAGCTGAGGAAAGAGCATCTAGACCTCCGGCTTCATGACCGCGTGGTCTACTGCGCCTCTAGTGACGTTTGCTTTTCTGCTATGTCAGCTCACTATTGCGGTTTGCAGGTGTCGTGATGGGCTGGCTCAATAGGCGGTGTTGCGGCCATTCAATATTGTACCGGAGTAGGTTACAGGAGAATATGCATCGTGGTGCATCGCGTGCATTCTTAGCTCGATCGTGCAAAAAACTTGGCTTTTCGGGCCGCTGAAGCTTGGTTACGTAGAGCGTTCTCTGGAGAAGGGTAAAGCTTGTGGACAGACGGACGGGAGAGAGTAACCCGGTAGACAGACGGTTGAGAGCATGTATGTGATGGCACGCAGAAGGCGCGAGGGGCAGCGTGGGAGCGGTGTGACATGACGTCATGCATGTCAACCAAACTATGGTGCGCATGTGAAGACACGTCCAAGCTGTAATTCAAATCGTAAAGCTTCATTCAGGGTCGTAAGTATATATACAAAGCATGTTTAGTGTGCCGTTGCGACAGGCTGTTGTTGCACTCTCTGCTGCTCAAATGTCCTCTGATGTTCAAGTTCATGCTCCTGTGCCTGTTCGTCCAAACTGCGCGACCTCAACGGAACGATCGTTCCATTGATCCTCTCAATGTACGGCCGACACTTGTTCCACTTGTCATCCAACTTGTGCATCGTCTCTTTGAGTGTCGAGGTGCGTTTAGTTGGAGACTTTGTCGGGGACGTCCTTGCCGGTTGCTTTTTCGAACATGTTACGAGCGCCATCGGTCTGCGTGAACGTTAGTATATTGAGTTCATGCAACTTGAAAGCTAGCAAGGCCCAAACTTACAATCTTCTCATTAACACCCCGATTCTTCTGAGTATCCTGACCCGCGGCGCCGCCGAACTTCTTCTCTGCGGCGTCGAGACCCTTGTCGAGGTAGTCTTCGCGCTGCGCTTGGTTCTGCTGAACACCCGTCGTCGATGTGTCCTGGCTGGTGGGTCCTTGGGAAGCATTTCCTGGGATGGAGTTCATCTTGTCTTAACCTTGTGAGGTGCGGGAAGGCTAGATGTCTGGATGACGAGTATAAGCGGGAGACTGGTGCGATCCAGATTGGTAGTCTCACAGGTGCGGCTTGTACGGATCGTGGCGTAGACTTAGTGGTTTAAGGGTCGTAGTGATTACTGTAGCGTGTATTGAGGCTTGTAAAGGTGACGACGCCACGACCTTGGAAGGTAGGCAAGTCTTAAGTAGGTTCTCAGAATTCGCAAAGGAAGCCGCGGGGCATGATTATGGGAGTCGTCATGGAGAACCACAAGCCACATCATATCTGCATATCTGCCCTATCAGCAACTGAGCATCTTGAACGAGCATTATCAAACGATGCTGCATCCTAAACGGGTTGCCAAACTTCCAAAAACTTGGCTTTCGGGCACTTAAACTTGGCTTTGGCCCTGCTGCCGCGTGGGCTGCGGAGATAAAAGCCTTAACTGATCATGAACAATAATGCGTCCTATCAAACGATGCGGAGACGTTGCTTCTCCTACCATTTAATCACTGGCCGTGGAAGCGCGTTGTTCAAGCGCTGTTTGACGATCCACCACACCTATGACATCACACATCGTTGACTTCCAAGGGGATTTTACCCGGTATGACGCATCACTAGGTAGTTTGATCTGCGAATCTCGATGCTTCTGGATAATCTTTTTCCAAGCTTGGGACCGGAAAGCGGAACGCGAAATGTGGACCAGTTTTGCGTGTCGTGCATAATGCGGAGACGGTGGTGGAGCGAGCAGGCATAAGCGATTTATCGTGGAATTCTTTTCGTGGCAAGTAAGCCGCGATGCTCGTATGAGAGTGATGAAATTTTGCATCTGTCGTTACAGCATACCACATAGGTATAGTCATTGCGACTGAGTGGATATGGTAAAGAGCATCCAATGTTGTCGCTCGCGGCTTCCACATGCATGTGTTCAGCCTCATGCGTGCCTGCGCTAACCAGAAAAGCGCACACCACGTTTGCTCGTCTGCCTCGTCTGCTTTGGGACGCGTCTGCCTTGAGGCCATCTCTTGTGATGAGCTGATACCTAGGTAGTGACTCTCTCCCAAACGTCAGGCGTTCCGATCGCGTGCTTGAAACTCACCTTTACCTTTGACCTTTACTTGATAGCACCGTGATGGTGTCATGTATATTCACATATTCCCTCTTGGACTTGAAGCAGTACCACACTAGCAAACAACAAAACACGTCAAAGAACAATAGGTAAACGGTATTGTGCAGTTTCGTTCTACAAACAGGCTAGACTACCATCACCTAATCCATCACGGCCATCACGCCATCAACATCATGGTCATATCCTAGCAACGACCGTACCATCGTAAACACCTCTTCTCGTCCCCGATTACTCACCCCGAAACGCCATTGTAAAGATGAGTCCACGTCTAATGTGTACTACTCGATCCCAATGACAGAAAGAGAAGCCTGGGGTATCTCAAAAGGGTATAAAGCTACTTGAGCTCTGACGACTCGAAGGTCTTTTAAAGCAATCACACCTGCCCCAACGCCTGTGCTTAAACGCACTGTATAATGGACGAAGACGCTGTAACGCACGACAAAAAACAACAGAAAAGACATACAAGGAAGGAAAAGACGTGTGAACGAAGCAAAGCGACGTGGGATGGACGCATCAACCGAACTGCTTGATGAGGGAGTGCAGAAGATGGCAGAAGAGTCCGTGGAGGTCGACAAAGAAGTTCTCCTGACCGACGATCTCGACGAGGCTCTTTGCCTTCATCACATCGCGGGACACACGGGGAAAGCCATCTGGGTCGACCTTCTTTGCGGACAGGAAAGAGGACACAGGTGTGATGTTGCGGAAGTTGGGGGTGCTCGTCGTGGAGAAGGTCCGTTCTTTGTGCGGTGCAGAGAAGTTGGGTGGCATTGAAGAGGCGGAGGTTCCAAGAGGAGGTGTGTTTCCAGATATGGCGGTGGTGGGACGTGACAGGACCTGCGAAGCTGCACTCTCACGTTCAAGGACTCTGTCGGCCAGGGAGATGATCCGGTTGGCGATGCCCTCAAAGGCTTCGATGATCTTCACCATAGCCTTTGTGGCTCTCCGGTAATCGCGACCGGCCATGGCGATGAAGGCGTAGGTGCGCTTAGCTCCTCGCGAACGCGGATCCTGCAGACGGAAAACGTACGCGATGGTGTAGCCAGCGACTGAGTCTCCGAACATGATGGGCCCGGACGGCTTGCTGAGGGGAAGGACCTCGGTGGACAATGTACGGATGCAGGTGCGTCGCAAGAGCGAGTAGGTGCTGGGCGACTGCGGCTGACTGGTGGAGATGTAGTTCAATGTGTGGGTGTGTATGCCTCTCGACACGAGCATTGGTGAGGGAGGTATTGAGTCTGGGAAGGAGCCCGAGGCGCCGCTCTGGTAGGAAGTCGACTGCTCTGTGTCTGAGACATCGGACGAATCGGTGCTACTGAGGTCGTCCCGGGACACTGGTCGACGTACTGGGTAGTTCTGGGAGCTACGCAAGACCGGGCTGCCGTTTCTTCCACGCCCGTCTTTTGTGGGACTGCCAGGGGCGCCGTTGGGGATCTTGTCGCTGTACTTCTGGGGCACTACCATCTGGCAGTTCTCGCAGGCGTCCGAGTCGGAGTCGATGGTGCTGCTGGTTCTCCGTCCGCCAAAACTACTGCCGGAAGAGGAGGGAAAGCTTGGAAAGTATGGGTTGTGCGTGGGGGAGCGCGGGCTGTTGGGCGGCGACTCGAAGGGCGAGGTGAGCTGTGGCAGGCGCGCGTTAAGCTTGAGGGTGGTGGGCTGATCGTACAGGCCGTTGTAGGAGTAGGCCGAATGCGGCTCTTCGGAAGGCGGCGTCACACATGGGTTGCAGGAGCCGCAGGGCGAGGTCGAGGCCTGGGTGCAGATGATGGATGTCGGACCGTGGGTCTCGCAGAAGTGTGCGAGGGAGATCTGAGGTCGCGTTAGGCGGGTGACCGACGAGTGTAAGCGCGCGGGAACTTACCGTAAAGTCCATGGTTCCTGCTCTCTGTCTTATCTCTACCGTCTCATGGTGGTCGCTCTGGGTGGTGGTGGGTCGGGGTCGTGGCTCAGCTGACAATCGATAGCCCAGAGGGGAGTAGTTGCCGCGCTCGTCGGGACCGGGCTGCTCTGGTGTGGTGGTGGATGAGCTGTGAGTGGCAGGAGGCAGCTATCGCCAGGCACCGGTGCACAGGTTTCAGAAGACAAAGGGTGGCGAGGTCGCGTGTGAAGATGGCGCGGGTGGAGTGGCACTCGGATGGGGACCGTGGTGTTGGTCGCAAACGTTGGGCCGGGCTCGTAGGATTATATGGAACGGGCTTACAGCACAGCGCTAGGACTCGACTGGCACTCTGCACGGCATCGAAGGGGCATACTTAGGCCCTGGAGACACGCACGGCGCCGAGGACCTGGCGGATTTAGCTCACATCATGGCGAGGATTCCTGGGAGCAATTACGGGGGCAGCGGAGCATCTTTGCAAGAGCCGACGCTACTGCGGCCGGGGTGAATGCGGCCTGTTGTTGCGGTCAGTATCAGCAGCGCGCCATTGGCCGCCCAGCCACAGGCTCGTTACAGCACACACTTGACAGTTAGACGGCCTGCACGCCTGTGTGACACGGCCTGGGGGCAGCCGACGGCAGCGCGCACCCAGCACTGCTTCCAGCGGGCGTGCCTGGGTGAGTGCGCCGTGTGTGATGGAAGGATGCCGCCGTGTTACAGGCACACGAGCGACGGCCGCCCATGCATGCAGAGCGTCGCTCGAGTTGCATCGGCCACCAATGACGCAGCCCGCGCCCCGTGCATCGCCCTCCGGTCGCGCCTGCACGCTGAACCATGCGCCACTTCCCGATCCAGAGGGGATGCGACTGCCTCTTCCACTACCGATCAGCGCCCCCAACGTTCACCTTGTGCGCGTCGCGTTGCTTTTGTCGCTGCCCGTTGCACGTCATTCCCAATCTGCCACGGATGCAGCGCTCCCATGGACGCCCGCCAATCACACATCGCCTGAAACACGTACGGTACCTCTGTCATGCCCGCCTCAGACTCTGCGCCCTCCTGGCCCCGTCAATGGTGGGATGAGGTGGAGCGATACTTGCAGAATAATTGTCCGCCTCTCTATTGACGCGGGCGGCAAAGTCCGTCGAGTACCCCATTGGCCCTGGCCTCGCCTCTCAATCGGCCGACGCCAGACCAGACGAGCGCTCGTCGCTTTCCAGAAGACACGCACGGGCGCCTATGGAAGCCATGGAAGCTGCCAAGTGGGCCTCTCCAACGACGACCTGCCTGCTCGGCCTTTGCGCCAACCACTACAGGGTCTCGAGCCTCTGTCGTCTGATTCTGGCCCTCTTAACCGCCACTTACCCGGACGCTGGAAAATTGCAATGGAAAAAATCCGGGGACTGCAATATACACGTCTGCCGATGACGGCCCTCTGCCGACCCAAATAGGCATCCTATATGGCAGAATGCACTTCGACCGAGCGCTGAGCTGTACAGAGTCCAGAGCAGAGTGGGTATGCTTAACACCCTCCTGTTAAGGTCAAGCACAATAAACCGCCATGTCAAGCATTTTGCTAGAGCATACAGAAACTGGCCGCATGCAACACCTGCTCGCTCGGCTAGGTGACAGCTGCAGGGTCCGTAGTTGCCGTCGGCCTTCATGATCAGCTAGAAATCATAGCGCGCTACGCGACCGGACCAGTACGTAATATTTGCGGGCTCGTCGCCGTTGGTGGCATCGTGAAGCAGAAACTAAGCCAAGCCAGCAGGTACAAGCCTCAACAACCGCTGCAAAGCGGAAATTGCACGGCAATCGACATATGTCAATTCTTACAGAGGAAGGTGCAGAGTTTGGCCGCTACAATGTCTTCTCTTGGTACTGTACATGCTAACTCGCTATCATGGCTCGTGCTCATCATCCAACTCTCCTCCGTCAGCTGCCCGCCCTCGCAGGATGTCATACCCCATTACTTCGTTGATGAACTTCTTCGACATCTTCAGCTCCTCGTAGCGCATCCTTTCCTGTTCTGTAAAGTCTCTCGCCCCCGTCTCCATCATCTGGGCTATCAGTGGAGCCCAGACCTGATCAAGCTGTGTTATGCCAATCTGTGTACAAGGAATATCATCTAGTAACGCAGGTGAAACCACACCAGCATCCTTCCAGTGCTTTCTCCAGCATTTACTCGTATGCGGCGACATGTGAGCTCTATACGTTAGGAGATATCTTCGCCGCTCGCTATATACTGGGCAAGCGAGGAGCTTCGCAACTTGCCCAATGCCACCAAGTATGAGGAAGAAGGCCACATCCTCTGAACAGGCTGGCTGGTTTGAAAATCCCCGCAGGAACTTTTCCACTGCTCCAGCACGACTGCAAGGTCTCAGTTTTCTAAGCAGGACCTGCACAATGAAACAGTACATGTAGAAGTACTGAAGTCGAAGTGGTGCGTCCAGGTTCTTCAAGATCTTCCTTTCTTGGCTACTGATACCACCCGTCGTACGGACGTGATAGCCAATACGGGAGCGTGGTCGAATGTGGCCGAGATCTCTTTCCAGAAGTAGTCGTCGATGTTCATCTAGAAAGTAGCCTACCCCAAAGACCAGGGGCAGCATCCTCTCGTACACCGATGTCCACAGCTGCCTCTGTTCGGTTGGCTCCCCTACAAGGTGATTGGCAAGCTGACGTGTCAACCGGATGGACGCTATGTGTCGCCGTCTCATAGTGAGTAAGAATGGGAAGTCGATCGCGTCCGGTCTTGGAGCCGGATAAAGTTGTAGATGAAGATTGCCGAGCCGGTTCTTCACCCAGTAGCGCACAATCGCAGGTGCGTTCTCTGTCACGAGCATGTTGAGCACGCGGGACGTTCTCCTCAAAGCAAGCAGATCCGAGACGCACAGCTCGCGCAGCATGTAAATGTGGAGTTCATCTGGCAACCGAAACAATGCATCTAGAAACGGGCTGTGTTGCGATGATCAGTCGTGTTCCCCAGTGTGTGAAGTGGACACGGTACGTACCTCGAGGGGCTCGGCTCTAGCTCCTCGTCTGCACCACTCTTCCTCTTACTCCGTAGCGACGCAAGAAATCTACTCTGAAAGCCACCTGCCGCCCTGCCCAAACTCGATCTCTTCTTCGCGATCGCCTTGTCCCCCGTCACAGTCCCAGATCCCGATCGGTTCCTCACCCGCTCGGGCGCTGGGTGGCCTCTCTGAAACTTCTCCATGGCCATATGCGATCGGCCAATCCAGGCTAAACACAGCCTCGTGGAAGCGGCAGCGCTCAGCGCGCGTTTTCGTTGCGTTACGTCAACGTCTGAAACCTCATTATCGCAATAAAGACTGCAGCATCCTTTGGTAGCACAAAAAGTGTAGGCGAGAGACGTTGGGTAGGGAGGTGGAGTTGTCAGGAGCGAAACTGGACGGCCATGCGCATGATGAGATGCAGAACAGATTGGCCTTAGCTTTCCCAGCGTTCGGGCATCGGTAAACACGACAGGCATGGTACGAGGCCCGGTCCAAGCCACATGGCCACGAGGGACAAACTCTGAAACGCGGCGGATTTGCCGGACCGCTGATAAAGAAGCCAGTCAGAAAGGGCTGATTCTAGAAGGGCGACTCGCAGGCTAGCCATGATGACAGTTGCTTGACTCGCAACCACGATCATGGTTTGTGGGTGTATACTCAAGATTCGATCGTGCAGCCACTGCGCGATATTCTATGTCGTAGCGCTTGTGTTGCCGCTATGGATTAGTAGTCTACGATATAGTCTGCGCCATGCCGTCAGTGTGCATTCGCGACAGACCGCATCAACGTGGACAACAACCGTGCACAGCGCCCATCAAAACACCAGGCGAACCCTGCGACATCGACGAGTTGACACACTGACAGCTATGCGAACCATGTTGCATAGTCGGATGACTTTGGCTGCCTCGGGCATCAACGACTAGCTGCGTCTCCGCCTGAACCCTACATGGCAGCCGATGTAGGCAAATCGTAATACCGGCCGTACCTAGGTAAGCAGCGAGACCGCGGCGGCCTCTTATCTCACGATAACCATGAACATCCTCATAAACGTTATGAGTCCATGCAGTGGGTATATCTTGGTGTCAGCGATCTGATTTGGACATGTGGTAGGCCGGATACGATACCACCTGGGTACGTTAGGATGCCACTCTCATACCCCACATCATCAACGATGTGACCCACACTCAACAGCAGTATATCACCATACAGATATGCCATCTCGGGTAGTACCGACGCAAGAGACCTGATCCAGACTCTAGTTCTGCTACAACGGTGACTTTTCGCGTCCCTTGTTTGCGTTGATCGATACTTTTCTAGGTAGGTATTCATGTCGACAAACCGCAACCCGATGTTCTTCCAATAAAGTCTATCAAGTCTGCATACCCCTATATGCTCTGCATGCGTCCAAGGGGAGTCAGGCTCAACGGCGGTCGCTACGACAGATGCCATGTGGCCTGACAGCAGAAAATGCGGTAGCACAACAGCAGCCGCCGGGCCGTCGCCAAACTACCACGACAGCCCGAAGCGGGCACGACACGATCGAAATTCTTATACGCCCTTGACGACGCGAACTAGGCAAGACTTAGAACTTCAATCCCGAGTGTGGCTCCCAAGCTACCCCTCTAACCCCCACATGACCTATGTCAAGACGACCTCGCGTAGCAGCAAGAAATGCCTTCCTCCGATGATGCAAGACGCAGGAAGTAACGAGGCGACAGTACATGCATATGCATATGTAAACCCCCTTCATCCCGCACATCCGCAATGTCGTACGCCCATCTCCGACTCCCATCGTCCAAACGTACCTTGCATGCATCCGCGCCGCACGTGCAGTCTACCGCTCTCCCCGCATAGCACCTCCCCTGCCAAAGCAAAAGTCGCACTTCATCAACAGTCACACAACGTAAATCACCATGCGTTCCACAGCCTCGAACCGACCTGTCAAACCTCTAGTCTTGCATGCCGCACAAATAGCCAAAATGGTACCCGAAGGCTTCCCCGATCCCAGCACAGGAGGGAATGTGACGTGGAAAACGCTGGTTTCGAATGAGAAGACTGAGACGGATACGTTCACAGTCGGCGTCGCGAAATGTCCGCCTGGAAGGGTCGTGGCTTGTCCCGCATCTTCTTCTACGAGCGATTCTGGGATCCCAAGTCCATCTCTGCAGAATCCGGAGTCTTTGGGCGATGTGGGGTTTCTGAAGTTGCATCGCCATACTCACGCTGAGATATATCATGTTGTGTCTGGTACTGGGATGGTTTGTATTGAGGGGCAGGAGTACGAGGTTGAGAAGGGGTCGATGGTATTCATACCGGGGGATGCAGAGCATGGTATCTTCAATACGGGAAAAGCGGACTTGGTCTGGCTGTATGTATTTGCCGCGGATGGGTTTGAGGATATTGTTTATCGATTCAGTGAGCAGGGTGGGAGTGGGAAAGGTGGTAAGGTTTTGAAGGCGAAGCTGTAAAGAGATGAACATAGTGGCTATGCAAGACCGGAGGGTGGTCATCATTCTATCTGGAAACATGCACTTCCGCAGACTGCGCAATAAGCCAGCGCTATATCGCCCGTCAAACAACCACTGATTCATCAACTCCGCGCGTCGCCCGAGAGTGGCTAAGGAACTGAGACTACTTCTCAGTGGTCGGCGGAAGCTTCAACTCGGTCGTAATCACGACGGGTTCGACAGGGCCCTTCTTCTCTTCTTTGGTAGGCGGGTCATCTTTCTCGCCAACAAAGACACGCTGCTCCTCGTCGTTCTTCATGCTTTTCTTTCGGTCCTTCCCCTTCATCCGCGGCTGACTTCCGTTTCCGAATTGGCATGGTGGTGTCGCTTGCAGCCTCTGCTTGGTCGCCAGTAGTGGAGTCTTCTGGCTGTTTCGGAACCTCCTTATCTTCGCCTTGCACGCCGGTGCCAGTACCGTCACCGATATCGCCAGTAGCAGTATCTGTCGATTTAGAGCTGTTCTCTGCAGTTTCCACATCCTCCATCTGGTCCTCGCCCGCAGTAGACCTTCTCTCATTGCCTGACAGTTCGTCCTTAGACTTCTTCTTTGTTCCGGCCCACTTCTCGCCTTCGCCCATCTTGTCAAACACAGCCTTCATCTTCTCTTCAAGCCAGGACTTGATCTCAAACGCTGTATCTTCTACGGCTGGCCAGGAGTGACTCTTATACAGCATCACCCAGTCGTTTGACTTCGGATCAGGGTATACTATCAGCGCGCCCCTGTACTCCATACCATTTTGGCGGTCGGTCGGCGGGATGGATGAGGTGATGAAGTCATAGCGTTGCGCTTCGGGGAAGCGATGCGCGTAATATGCATTCGCGTTGGAGAGGATGCGCTTCTTTATATCGTTGAAGTCGAAGGTGTATTGGGGATTATAGCCCCTGGGCATTTCAGGGATGTCGCGCCTACTCATACGACGCTCGTTTCTGTTATTTGATGGTTCCTGAAGCCGTAGAAACTTACTCACCTTCATGTCTTGATGAGGGTGACGTTCGGAGTTCATGTTTTTTTGGAACGTGTAGCTGACTGTGAGTAATCAAGAACGTCGTTAGCCAACGGGGTAGGGAGAGCTGATAAGAGCTAATTGCAGCAGAGGTTTGCGTATACGTCGGAGCGCGGAAGGTTCAGGAAAAGGCAGGTGCATCCGGATGTTTGGTCCATCACGCGCATCGCGAGTTACGTGGAAAACCCAAATATGGCGAGAACCTTTCTTTCACTTTCACCAAGATACTTGCTTATTAGAGTGAGGATAAGAGAGGAGTGGCATTCCTTTGCGCGGCTTATACCTAGGTATGGTATTATCCCGAGATTGAGCGAATACCGCAATGCCGCCCACACATGATCCCGCTCCCACTCTGTTGGCAATGCCTCTTCCATGTTGTTGCATCGAGTTATTTTGGATGTTTACTCGCACTGTGAACCAGATTACGCCCCCAGTCTGGGAGTGGTTCTCCGCATACGATTACGTCACCGATTATCTGTTCGAGTAGCCACGGTGGATGGTGAAGTAGCTCGGGGAGCGACTGAAGGTGGCTGGTAGAAGGTGATGTTAGAAATGTTGCGTGAATGCTCGCCGTGGTGGTTGGATCGGATGTTTTATAGGCGACCAATGTGGGTCGGAAACCTTCTCAGGTGTCGAGATTGCAATATAGTTCATTGTTTGCCATGTATAACATGGCGTTACACACTCTATGGGCTCGTAAAAGCAGTCCGAGAGTGAAAGAATGACTAATCGGTGACATACTTTGAACAGGAACTGGAAAGCATCTTCACGACAACAGCATGAACAACAACATAATCTCAGTTATTCAGTTTGCTTTTCCAAATAAAATCTTCAGGTACATTCGAAAGGCTTGGCTACCCAGAATCTGACAGTGTAGCAGTATCTAAGATGCAATTCTGGGCTCTTCGACCGCGTGGTCGTTGCATGAAACTGACGTCAGTCGACCAGGACCTCATCAGCGACACCGTTCACTTTGAGACATCATCAGCGGCTCAAGGCCAACGGCTATATACCTAGGTCGGTTGTCGTGTGAGCAATAAGGAACTGAAGATAGCCTGGGTGCTAGCTGAGCGCAAGCCTGAAGCCGCCGGTGCACTGACCACCTCGTGCTCACATCTCGAGCATTGGGCGTCATCTCAGCTCACCTTCCTAATTCTATGCACTAGTATCTACGCATGGCCGTGACGAAAATTGTTCTCGTCTCAGTGCTACGCTTATTGGCATGCAATATCAAACAACAGCTCACCTACACCAGTATTTGATGCACCCATGGCTGCATGGGTATCCCGTGGCGCTAGGTGGACTCGAGGAAGGCTGAACCCCTACATGTAGGGTACATACATGTACGAATCGCGACTACCTCTGCATGCGATCACGTTGAATAATGCACAAAACAATGGTACCCCTAGGGACGAAGTGATACGGTGGATACCTGACGAATCTCTATTGCGATTAGAGCACCTACGACGGCTAGAAATTCGTCCGTACGCCATCTTGGTACGTACCCCGCGGGCTGCGCGCATTCTTTCACATCAGCCTTACCAACCAGGCCATCGGAAGGCATCGCATAGCCAGTCGAGATGCCTCGGCAAGATACCCTGCCAGCATTGCTTCCTTTTTGCGGGGAATATCCTCGTCGGACCGTCTTGCCAGTTACAGCCGAGATGACATTCCCGCTCCCATCTCACCGGGACACCGAACGACGTTTCAAAAAGTTTAATTCTACCTGTCAGACGTCAAAAATGTCTACAAGTGTGTACATACAAAATCCGCGAGATTCCCAGAGCGTAAGGCACGTGTATGAGTTCTAGCAGCTGTGCCACAGCTAGCCACGTATCGACCGTATCTCGCGCCAGGCCTCAGCGAGCGAATCAGTGACACCGCTAGTCGCCGAATGTTCCACCGCGATGACGCACTTATGTATTGCCTGGCGAAGCCACCGGCACGGCAGGCGAGCTTGACTCCGTTGACGATTACTACGCGGTGTACGTGGAGTCGTTTGCGTTAGGCTGAGGCGGGACGTGTCTGCGGCTTATGCGTGATCGCGACAGCATTACGAGATGCTGGCCGGGCTGGACTAGGGCAAATGACAGGATTATATATGGATGCTCGACCCGTGCCTAATGGATGGGCCTTCCTTGCACGTTTGTACGCGGCTGTATCTCCTCTACCGTCGTGAGTCCCAAGTAATCGGAATATACACCTGGGTAGCCCTCGTCGTTACTTCTCCGTTCATACTTTCATCCCGTCCGCCAATATGTTGCAACTTGCTGCAGCAGCAGCCTTAATAGGTGCAGCATATGCACAAAACTCCTCATTACCTACAGTCGATCTTGGCTACGAGATTTATCAGGCTTCTGGCTTCAATGTTCGTATACCATCATCAAATCCTCGATGTCACCTTCTTAATTGACACAATTAGGACACCGGCAACTTCTACAACTTTTCCAACATACGATATGCTGCACCGCCTGTCGGTGACTTGAGGTTTGCACCACCTCAGGCTCCAGCAGAAAACAGGTCATCTATCAACACCGGCGAGACATCGAGGTAAGCGCCACAGGAAACCGAAGTTCATACAATCATACTAACATCTACAGAATATGCCCTCAGGCAAATCCCGCTTGGTCTGCAGCCGCAGCACAGTCGTTGGCCAGATATGCGCTCGGCCTTCCTGCTTCGAACACAACTTATTCAGTAATGCCAGCAAATGCTACCAGTCCGGTCCCACAACCGGATCCCCGCGAGTCTGAAGATTGCTTATTTTTGGATGTTTTTGTTCCCGAGGATGTGCTTAGCAAAGCTGGGCAAGGCTACGGGGCCCCTGTTCTCGTATGGATCTACGGAGGCGGCTACACAGGAGGCGAAAAAAACAACAACCCTGCGGGTCTGCTCGCGGCCTCCGGCAACTCGTCCAATGGCGATGTTATCTACGTTGCGATGAATTATCGCCTTGGTGCTTTGGGCTGGACGGGTGGCCCTTCATACCAAGCAGAAGGAGGTGTATCCAACCTAGGTTTGTACGATCAGCGATTTGCGCTTGAGTGGGTCCAGGAGAATATTCATCTCTTTGGAGGTGATAAGAACCGAGTAAGTCAGAACTGGTCCATGCATCTATGATTTGTGCTGATTTGTGTCTACAGGTCACTGTATTTGGTGAGAGCGCTGGAGGTGGCTCGATCATGCATCAGATTACTGCATACGGTGGTGCTAATGGATCTGCTCCTTTCCAGCAAGCCGTACCCCAGAGCCCTGGATGGCAACCTACAACTTCTGTTGTCACTCAGGAAGATGTATACCAGAGGTTCCTCACTCTTACCAACACCACTTCCCTCGCAGAGTTGCGGGCTCTTTCATCTGAAGAGGTAATGCGTGCGAATGCTCAGCAGATCACCTATGATTCCCCATACGGTACATTCACTTACGGGCCGGTCGTGGATGGTCTTTTCGCTCCTCTTCAGCCAGCTCAGCTTTTGGCACAAGGTCGATTTGACAAGGACGTGCGCGTAATGGTCGGTCACAATGCGAATGAAGGAGCTCTCTTCACGCCCTTCTTCATTCCAAACGAGGCTGCATTGGAAGACCAGATCTCGTCCGCATTCGCCAACGCTCCAAAGTCCTCCCTCGATTATGTTACCAAGACTCTCTACCCCCCGGTGTTCGACGGGTCTCTACCATACACCAATAACTTCGAGCGCGGTAGCCTCATTGTCAGCGAGGGAGTCTTTACGTGCAACACCAACTACCTCTCCAGGGCTTACGGAAACAAGACATACTCCTATCTCTTCGCAGTTCCCCCGGCTATTCATGGCCAGGATATCCCGTACACGTACTTTGAGGGCGGTGCAGGTTCCACCGGGCTCCAAGGTGTTGCCAACACCACCATTGCCATCGCTCTGCAGGAGTTCATCACCAGCTTCGCTGAGAATGGTGTGCCAGATGCTACAGGCGTGAAGCAGTTCAACATGTACGGCCCAGATGCGTCCGTATTGGAGCTCAACGTGACGGGCATCGAGGATGTACGCGACAGCAACGCGAACGCTAGGTGTGCATGGTGGCAGAAGGCGCTTTACTAAGCCTGAGCTCGTGCAGTATAATACCAATTAGTACGGCAAAAGTAATCGTAATGAATGAACATCACGCACAACAGCATAATGCACATGTAAAAATTTGTGATGCCCCGGCATGCGAATTCCGTAAACGCGACGTTCCTCGCGCATGCATGGCAACACGCGGACCCACATCCGCGATTGGCTGATCATAACTACGTCATAGCACAGCAGCTCAGTCCACGTCCACACATCCTTTAAAGCTGTCTTCCGCACACACCCAAAGGAACCTTATCTAACAAACTATCGAACAACTCAATTGCCACCTCTCTCACCTCTACCAACAACTTCACCTCAAAACACCAACACTACATACAACACCATCAACATGTTCCGCCAACAGATCGCCCGCCAGGCCCGCCTCTTCAGCACCACACCCGTCGCGCGCAAGAGCCCCGTAGAAGCTATCAAGGACGCTGCCAAGGCTGTCGACAGGACAATCTCCGGTGCCGCTGTAAAGGGCATTGAGAAGGGAGGTACGTACACACTCCATCTCTCACACCTCCTACCTGCGTTACACTGCCTGATGCTCTCTGTTCTCAACAGCCGAGAATATGACGACATCGTACAGTGCGCACACCAGCTACGCTAGCACTATGAAGCAACACACGCTAACACTTTTTGAACAGAGGAAGTCGCTGGCGCCGTCAAAGAAGCCACCCCCGACACCACCGGCGAGGCCAAGGGCCAGGCAAAGGAGATGGCCGGCGAAGCTAAGGGCAAGGCTCAAGAGCTTAAGGGCGAGGCCAAGGGCAAGACCCAAGAGCTCAAGGGCGAGGCTAAGAGCAAGATGTAAAGACGTCAACGGACATCAGGGACGACACATAATGACTTCGAGGAGGCATGCTTCGTTGCTATAGCTGCACAGAGTAAGAAGACGCCTAATCGTCACGGCAGAATGAATGAAATAATGTTTCAATGACGACAATGTGGCTCTCATGGATGGTGATACGATATGTTTCTTCAGTTGAGGTTACGTTGCTGACGCTACTGGGTGAAGGACTGTCCTCGCCAACGTTGGTCTCGATACCTGTACCGCGCTTCCCTATTCCGCTGCCTTCCTCATCTTTCGGCTCGATTGCTTTTCGATAACGACTCTAGTCTACACACAACATACCACGGCCCATGTACCACCGCCTTGACGACCTCGGCGCATATTCAAGATACAACTCCTAGTAAGACGTTATACAACACTGGGTGCTCATCCTCGGTACGAGGTTAGCAATATGGTGCGTTGGAGGCAAAGCTCGCCCGTTGAGCTATTGGAGGCACGGGAGATATCGAAGTCATTGCGCAGTATTCTGGAGGCTCATTCGATTTGGATCACAATACATCATGATCGCCGATGTCAGATAATCATCACGTCAGTTGGCGGCGAGATACGTCTAAAGAAACACATGTTGTATTGAACTATGACCCAAGATCTTGCAGCCATGATGATTAAATACCCAGCCCAGACATTCACTGACACAGCGGGAGGGTGGTGAGGGAAAGAAGTGAAGAGAATTAACAACAAGGAAAAGGTATGTCTACACCAGTAAAGGACAGTAGAGAATGTGAATGTGGGTTGTTTGGTAAAGACGCAATGACATGTCGTAGCTTCACCAATCGGCCTCACAACGGGCTTACATCGCCGAACCCCGTGAGTGTCGTGCAGTATAGATTACATGAACCACATGCCCATCTACCAAGACAGTTAGTACTCATCCTTTTGAACATCAGGCAGCAATGGAAAACTCACCATGCCTCTCTTCACTTTGTCATTCTGCGCCTCGTATGTCACCTCAGGTGGCATCGCGTACCCACTCTTGGTGGAGCTCGCACTCGTCTCAAAGGTCGTGAGTGTGAGACTGCCCGTCGCGCTGGTGAGGTAGGTACTAGAATCTACAGGCCAGGAGGAAGCGGTAGCATCCGTGTTGGTGACCGAGCTGACCGGAGGGGTCCAGTAGGAATAACCCGACGTGGAGCTGCTGGGGTAAGCGGTCGAGGACTCGACCGGGAAGGAAGTAGCGGTGGCGTCGGTGTAGGTTGAGCTTAGAGAGCTCTCAGAGGCTGTAAGGATAGAGGAAGTCTCGACCTCAGAGCTGGACTCGCTACTGGAAGATGCTGAGGCGGTGGAGGAAGAGGGGAAGGTGGTGTACTCCGTTTCGCTGTACATGGATGAGCTAGGTACTTCGGGGGTCTCAGAGCTGGTCGAGCTGACAGACGTGATAGGAGAGTCGGAAGAGGATGTGTCAGAGGGTGTTACTGTCGGGACGGGCGTCTCGATAGTACCAGAATCACTGGTCAACGACTCTGATGGCGTCTCGGAAGGCAAGACGAAGCTGCTAGTGCCTGAAGTTACCGACTCAGTGTACGAAACAAGCTCAGAGTCCGTAGATGATTCGCTGAATGAAGACGACCAGTACGAATAGCTCTCCGTGGTTGGCGAGGGCGTAGGCAAAGTTATGACTCCAGACGACGTGGGTGTGGAAGAGTCTGAAGTCGTCTCAATCGAGCTGAAGGAGATGCTGAACGAGTACGGCAACGAGGATGTTGCAGAGTCAGTCTCTGAAGCACTAGGCACACTGCTGGTATCATATGTAGAAGATGCCGTGTACGAAGGCGTGTATGAGGCCAACGAAGAAGAATCTGAAGAGGTTCCAGTTTCAGTAGCTGATGACGACTCTTCGGAACTAGTGGGTGTATATGAGGAGCCGTCCGTGGTCGAGGATCTGGACATGGTGAGTGTTCTAGACCAGGTACGTGTGGAAGAACGACTCCGGGAGACTCTGGATTTCCTATACCACGTTGAAGTCGAGGTTGAAGATGACGTGTAAGAATCAGTGGTTGGCGTCGGAGTCTCCGACTGGCTATAAGAAACTTCGGAAGTATAGGTGATCCAGGAGATTGTGGAGATGTCGATCGACGATGAAGACACAGTATCGGTTTCAGAGGGACTACCGCTGCTGGTGGCGTTACCAGGTGGACCGTAGTAGCCCGACGACGACGGAGTCTGAGAAATAGTTCCGTTTCCACTGGATGTTGCTGTGGGCCCAGTGTTCGTCTCCGTGATAGTACCATTGGAAGGGTATGGAACGGATGTGGTAATGGCAATGGTGGAGGTGATGACGGACGTAATGACAGTTACATTGGTGCTCGGGCTTTCTGTAGTTGTCGACTGGCGTGGAATGTATGAGCTTCTGGGTCCAGTGGAGTTGCTACTGGCAGTGGAGGTCAAAGATGGCATTGAAGATCCTGGCGCGGTACCAGTACCCCAAGTAGATGAAGCTGTGCCAGTACTGTTTCCATAAGGCGCGGAAGAATCATGTGGCGGCGAAGTTGGGTAGTATTCTGTTCCGGAAGACTGAGGTCCAGTCGAAAGAGGGACGCTCATGGAAGAAGAGCTGCTGCCCCAGCTGCTCGCTGTAGCTTCGGTCGACGTATCTCCAGAGACAGTTTCACTGAGCAATGGATTAGTTGAACGAGCAAATATCACCAGGATCGATCATAACTCACGATGTCGAGGGGACAATAACCGATGTGATAACCACGACACTAGTGTAGACGACTGTAGAGGGTCCTGATGTTGTAGAGTTTGCAGTTGGCGAAGACGTTGGAACGGGAGGCGTCCAAGTAGACAGCGAGACGCCGGTGCCGCTGGAGAAGGTGGACGACGCACTTCCACTGGTGCTGCTTGAACTTGGGTAAGGAGGAGAGTATGGCGGTGGCGGTGCATACTGCCGAGGCCGTACATGCTGTGGGAAGTTTACTATCCCAGAAGATTAACTCACGTGCCTATATTTCAGAGAGCGTGATGCTTGGTACATTGACGGAAGAAGTGTGTAGATCCAACAGCAGATCCTATGGGGGGGCTTACAGGGCACCCGCTCAGCTGCAGTGAGCGTCAGGAAAGCCGCGAACGGAGTGAAGGTACTGAGCTTCATGGTTGTTATGTGAGTCGCAAGACACACCTGTTCCAAGAGGTGAAGGAAGAAACGAGTGTTGAGGGGAAATAACGAGAGGATGTGTCGAACAGACAACTACAGCTGGACGGCTTGAGCCTCGATTGACTGGAGACAATGATCTTATATGTGATGATCTACGTTCCACCGCGACAGTATCATGACACGATACTGCTACAGCCGTACGGCCGCAGTGAAATGCTCGGTTAGCTCCACTATGGGCATGCAGCACGGCATCATGCTTGTATCGATGGTATCCGATTCTTTGAACGATGACAACGTCTACGATGAAGACGGCTAGTTTGAAAATCATGACTTCTATGCGCTTGATGCTGAACGTGTTGGGCTCCGTCTCTTGACTGCGAGAGTTTGGAGTAGCGGCTGCCTCTGAGAAAGGCATGCACCGCTTCGATAGGCCATAATGGCCTCGGTCGATGTATAGTAGCCCGCATACGAGGTAGCTGGTGTATGCATTTAAATTGCCAGTGCAACAATCCGCTGATATCTTGAGTCTAACCTAAGAAAGGAATCACGGGAGGGTAAACGACGGACGGATAGCAACATGACACTGCAGCGCAGCGATCACCGCTGGTAGTACAAAAGGCGAAGGAAGAAATTCGCGAATGACGAAGTGACCCAGCGCACTGTTGTTGAGACTGAATGAATTGATACAGTCACTTCTCTAGGCATGGTGTTGTTGCGAGCCAATGGACTCGAGTAACTCGACCCTGAAGAAGCGTACCCAGTGTCGCAACGCTCGACCGACCTCGTATTCCCGGGCACCCAATGGGTAATGCAAAGGTTTGCAGTGCCACACCGCCTTAGTAATTCCTTATGATGTCGTTTGCCAATCATAAGGTTGCGTGCACTTTTGGAGGGATGCATGACCTCCGGGGCTATGTGCGGTCGGCAATATGTCTGAACAATCGGTCTTTAGCTATCTTCATCTGGCTCGATGCATGAGCCATATGCGAATCCTACTGTCTCTCCAAAATGTCGGACGCGATCGGACTGCGATACCGGCCTCGATTCTGGGCACAGTCCCTGACGTTTTCGGGTCCAGCCAGCCGCATGTACCAGGGTACAATACAAGAGCCTGCTCGGGGAACGCGACAAATGGACCATGGATGACTCGACATCAGGGATCGGACTGTGTTATTCGTATGGCCGGCAGATGGAGGGTTCCATCACTAGCTAGATGCACAGATGCAGGAACCAGACTCACGCTCAGGGTGCTGCGTTTCACAAGCAACCGCAGTAGGACGACGCGACTGATGCAGAAAGCCGTTAGAACGTCCCGACGGCACAGGGATCTCGATGCAGAGGAAATAGGAACCAAACATAGACAGCGGTGCAGATCAGCTAGGCTGGGTATGTCGTGGAAGCGGTATGGATCTGTTGGAAGATCGGAGGACGGCAGTGTCCATTGGTACTGTTCCCGACGCTAGCGCGGCTGCAGTAGCATCACGTGAGCCAGCCCAGCAGGGCCACCTCCATCTTCCACGGATGAGTTTGATAAGTCTAGACGCACCCATGTGAACTCATCGCTCACAAGAAGGTGATTTGTTACGTAGCAGAAGAGGTGCGAGCAACCGCACTCCGGAACTAGTGCATGCTACGCTCCCTACGACGGGCCCAGCCGCTTACTACCGAGTAGGAAGTACAAGTTGGAAGGCCTAACCCTCCCTGGTTGTGTATCATCCCCAGTTCGGGGTACTAAACCCTGAAGACCTGATCAAGCAATGGTCCGCGAGCAGGGACACCATTGGGCTTTCGTGATAGCAGTTTGGGCCGCGAGTGGCAATATAGATGTTGTGATAAGCATCACTTGCACATGAGGTTACCGGAGATCGGAAGGACTATTGCATACGGAAAATGACCGTTACAATTATATATTATACAGGAACACTTCAAATCGAAGGATTACTGGGAGAGGAGATCGCTATAGGGGCAACAACACCCTCAAGCGCCTGAAGAAGGATGGTTGCATCCTATATGTGGGTCTTCTCTTCACCGACAGGAAGACTCCTTGCAACGCCTTCAGTCGTAACCTCGTAAACGACACTGTACAAAAGGTATCATGTGCGTGTGAAACCAGAACCGTTACCCAAAGACGTAGCAAAGTATCGAAGAGCTTAGATGGACAGGATCCTAGAAGGATTGTACAAAGGACCTTAGTCCACAAAGACGAAAAAACAAGATAAAAATGGCGAAAATGATACCTAATCCCAGTTGACGAGGCTATTACCGTTGTCGTGGTCATTGGCGGATTGGTCGTCAAACGACTGTTGGAAATCGCCGCCCGGGAAATCGAAAAAGGCACTGTATTCACCAGTACCAGGCGTCAAAAACGAATCGTTGGAATAAAAGCCATCAGAAATGGCACTGGGTACCGACGGCGACGTGGTACCAGAAACAGGCTCAGCCTTCAAGTTTAGACCAGATGACAATGTTTGAGCCGAGCCACTAGCATGCTCAGACATGCTACTGGCGTTAGCTGTCCGACCAACCTTGTTGGGGTTGTAGGTGTACGTCGGAGCAAAGGGCTGAGGAAGGTTATCGCTGCCTGCCATGAATACTGCAGTGCGTGGGTCGTTCTGATCCAGGACAGATCCGAGGAACTGCTGAGACTCGGGTGGCATGGACAGAGTCAAAGGATTGGTGTTGAGCGCCTGCGAGCTGTATGGGTAGTTCGTAGGGCTGTAAGAATAGGAGGAAGGCGAATTAGGATCACTCTGCACAGGTGCGGCCTCATGCACGGAAGCTGCGTTGGGCGAAGCGCTCTGTGGCGAAGATGACTGACGGTGCTGGAGCGAATGGGTAGTAGGCGAACGCGATAACGAAGGACGCGTTTGTCGCTCTACTGTCTGGTTTTGTTGTTGAAAAGCTTGCGGCGGTAAAGACAGTCTTCGGTTGAGCTCAGTCTGTGGCGTCGTGAGACCTGCACTCGCCGGCTGAGCTGATGGGTCAAAGTGCGATGCGCCCTGGGGCAGTTGAATAGAAAGAGCGCGCTGGTGAGAGTGAGTGCGTTGAGGAATCTGGTACGGTGACTGTCTGTATCCCTGTTGCGGCTGAGCGGTGGTCGGGCTGAAGGATTGCGCTTGCTGGAAACCCTGTGGAGACGCGGGAGCGAACTGCTGAGGCGGGAGCATTGACGGGTTCAGCCAGTTGTTCGGCTGTGCAAATTGAGCGCCATTGGCCGGATACTGCGGACCATACTGCTGGAACGCCGCGCCTTGGTTCTGGTACTGGGACATGAACATGTTCCTGACGCCGTGCTGGGTCGCAATGTAGTCATGGAGCTTCTTGTTGAACATGACCGAAGTGGTTTGAAGATGAGCGTTGAGGCGCTGGTACTGGGTAGGCAGATCATCATCCTCCTCTTCGTACATCTCCTCATTGATAACATCCTGCTCGGTCACGCGAAGAGCACGGCCCGTACGCTTCTTGTGAATCTCAGAAGCTCTACGAGCAGACTCAATGCGAGCCTCCAGGCTGCGGTCACTGCGGCGCGAGGCAGCAATGTAGGCACTGTTGGGCATCAGAATTGGTTGCGTGCGGAGTAAGTAGAGACGACTAACCGCTCCTGGTTCTCTTCATGAGTGCGCTCGGTCTTGACCGGTCTGGCCGAGGTGAAGGTTCGACGTTCGGCAGGCATGGCGAGGTCCAAGCAGCAGATGGTAGGCAACGTGCGGTGTGGCGAAGTGTGTGTGTGGGCGAGGGTGGGGTAGCTGACAGATAGCGATGTCAGCACAACAACAGAAGGCTGATTGGTACAGTTCGAGGGGTACGTCTAGCAACGACTTCGACTGTGAAGAATAATGGAAGAAGGAGAAAGTGCGAGGAGCGGGCGGGCAAAGTATGTAAACGGAGAG